CTGAGCCGTCAGCCCAGAGCCCCACGCGGGGCTCGAACTCACGGACCGTGAGATCGTGACCTGAGCCGAAGTCGGACACTCAACCGACCGAGCCACCCAGGCGCCCCTTTTTTTTTTTTTAATTTTTTTTTTAAATTTTTTTTCCATTTTCCATTTCTACTGGCAGATTATGAGTGATCTATTTTCATCATTTCCTTTTCCAAATTTGGTATTCTCACCATTTTACGATCTTTAAAAAAATGTGACCTTTATTTTTCACACCTTAAAATTTTGTTTTTAATTTTTTTAATGTTTATTTATTTTTGACAGACAGAGACAGAGCACGAGTGGGGAGGGGAAGAGAGAGAGGGAGACGCAGAATCCAAATCCAGGCTCTGAGCTGTCCGCACAGAGCACCATGTAGGGCTTGAACTCACAAACTGCAAAATCATGACCTGAGCCGAAGTTGAACACTTGACCCAGGTGCTCCTATTTTCCCCACCTTTAAACAAATTATCCACAGTCCATAGTTTATATTAGAGTTCACTCTTTGTGCCATACATTCTATGGGTTTTGACAAATGCATAATATCTACCCTCCATTATAGTATTTCTTACCATTTTAAATTTTAGCCATCCTAGTTGGTGCATAGTGATATCTCATTGGTGGTTTTAATTTGCTTTTCCCTAGTGGCTAATAATGTTGAACATCTTTACATGTGCTTATTTGCTATCCATATATCTTACTTTATGAAATGCTTTTCATGTCTGTTGACCATTTTCTAACTGGATTTTTTTTCTCTTTAATTTTAAGAGTTCTTTATGCAATCTAGATACAAATCCTTTGTCAGATCTATGGTTTGCAAATATTTTCTCCCAGTCTGTAGCTTGCTCTTTTATCCTCTGAACAGAGTCTTTCACAGAGCAAAATTTAAAAAAAAAATTTTTTTTTTCAACGTTTATTTATTTTTGGGACAGAGAGAGACAGAGCATGAACGGGGGAGGGGCAGAGAGAGAGGGAGACACAGAATCGGAAACAGGCTCCAGGCTCTGACCCATCAGCCCAGAGCCTGACGCGGGGCTCGAACTCAGAGACCGCGAGATCATGACCTGGCTGAAGTCAGACGCTTAACCGACTGCGCCACCCAGGCGCCCCTCACAGAGCAAAATTTTTATTTTACTTATTTTTATTTTTTACTTTCACTTTTTTACATTTTTTACTTTTTAAAGTTTATTTATTTATTTTGAGAGACAGAAGAGAGAGAGAAAGCAAGTGGGGGAGGGGCTGAGAGAAGGAGAGAGAAAGAGAATCCCAAGCAGACCCTGCACTGTCTGCACAGAGTCGGATGTCGGGCTTATACCCACAAAACACAAGATCATGATCTGAGCGAAAATCAAGAATCGGATGCTTAACCAACTGAGTCACCCAGGCTCCCTGCAAAAGTTTTAATTTTGCTGGAATCTCAGTTATCAGTGTTTCCTTGATGGATCATGCCTTTGGTATTATACATAAAAACTTTCCCTAGCTCTACTTCCCTGTATTAGTTTCCTAGGGTCGCCAAAACAAATCACCACAAACTTGGTGATTTAAAGAAGAGTAAACTACTTTCACCTCCTACTATGGCCGAATATTCACTAATTATTTTTTCTGTATGCCATTTCCTGTCACCTCTCTAAATATAACAATTATTCTTAAGTCCGCTCCCCCACCCTTTTTTGGCTATTAGCTTTGTTTCCTTGGGTGTAAATTCTTCTATTTGTTGAAGTTGTGGCCTATGTCAGATTATGTCTGTTGGTACTCAGCCCTATATCTATTTTTCTATATTCCCTTTCACTCCTGAAGCCAGGTGTCTGAAAGGACATATCCCCGACTCCCTTGCCAGATGAGCTCCTGTTAGGTTCTGCGAAGGAGAGACAGCTGTGTAAGATTGAAAGGAGCAAAACAGAGAAGCTTTGTGTTTCTGGTGGTGCCCCCGGTGGTGTCAGTGGCCCTAGCTGCTCTTCACTGCAGTGGGGGGAGCCTCTAGGAGTACAGTGAGTGTAGGCTTACAGGCTATGGCCCAGGGGCAGGGGCCGCTTCCTGATCTCTGGGCAACACCCTCTCCTTTCCTTTGCTTCTCCAGCAGTTCCAAAATGATTGTGGAAAATTCTTGGGCTCAAACAGTACTTCGGTATCAGGAGGGGCCCCAGGACACAGGTTCTCAAAGCTATAAATCTAGGGTTGCTTCTCTGGCCTTTTTGCCAATGGAAGTGCATTACTGTTAGTCCAAAGCATGAGTGGGAAAATAGGTGCTTAAATTAGTATCTGAAGTTGCACTTGGATGAAGTGCAGTTAGAGCCAGACTTTTTCCTTTTATAGCCAAGAATTTTTTCCTTTCTTGCCACTTACAGGTATTTGGGGAAGGAGCAGAAGGCTGCAGGGTATGCTGTCTGCTGCCTTGCTCCAGTGTTCTGGATTATTTTTCAAAACATAGTAATTATGCTTAATTATGTCGATTAAGATTATTTTTTGAAATCACAATTAAGCGAAAAATATATGGCAATATTTAGCCATACTTACAGGAAACTTAATCATGCAGCCGGCTGTTTTAATATTGCAATTCACAAGCTGACAGGGGATTGAACTGTAGCCATCATCACTACCTAGAGTGAAATGATCACATTAATGTGATCATTTCCTCTAGGGTGTGACAGTTCCGTCCTGGGAAAGAAGGCTAGCCTCAAGGCACTCCTGGCTGAATGCTCTTCAGTTACAGTCTCTGAGCCCCTATGCCACAGAATTGCCTCTTTCCACATGGTGACCTTTGTAGTGGATGGCAGATTTCTCTGAGGTCTCAAAATGACAGGCTTTCACAATGTCACTGGCTGACAGCCAGACCCAGTGCAGTCCTGCTGTGCTTTTGGGGCTAAAGTCATTCCACCTTGTGCAACAGTTAAAGCCTGCTGTAAACAGCCGCATTCCCAGAAAGCCAGGAGAAAATGGTGTTTTTTTTGGGGGGGGGGCGGGGGCAACCCGAAAGCCACACTAAAGTACAAGAGTAAATCTTAGGGTTTCATAGTCCATCAGGAAAAATGAGGGACATGAGGTATTAGAAAGCATACGAGTTTTGTAGTCAGACTGATCTGGCTCAAATCTTAGATCTGTGCCTTGGCCAAGTCACTTTATCTTGAAGAACTCCAGATGCTTTATTTGTAAAATATGAGACAGCCGTAGCTATCTCCCGGGAAGATTAAATATGATCACTTCCCTATTCATTTATTCAACATTTTTTATTGCCTACCTTGTACCAGATCATATTCTAGGGGCCAGGGGAGACCACACTGAAAAGGCAAAGCTCCTGTTCTCATGAGGTTCCTCCTGTAGTGAGGAGAGACAGATAGTAACACAAACCAAAAGTGATGTAATTGAGAGTAGCTACCGTTTCTGTTTTCTCTTTGGTCCAACCTACCTGGCAAACTATATTAAACCTTGTTTTCCCTGGCCCCTTATCTAAGCCAGTGGGCCCTTGGAAAGGGACTCATGACTCCAATCTCAATGGCCTAATGTGACTTTTTTTTTTAAATGTTTATTTATCTTGAGAGAGACAGAAAGAGAGTGCATGTGCTTGCATGCACAAGCTGGGGAGGGGCAGAGAGAGAGAGAGAGAGAGAGAGAGAGAGAGGGAGAGAGAGAGAGAATCTCAAGCAGGCTCTGTGCTGACAACAAGGAGCCCGATGTGGGGCTTGACCCCATGACTGTGAGATCATGACCTGAGTCAGAATGGAGTCAGATGCTTAACCACCCAGGTGCCTCATCATGTGACTTCTCTAGAAAATTTGCATATTAGCAGGAGGCCTTAGGTCAGACTTTTACTTCACTTTGCTGTGGACTTTTAGGTTTTGTGTGGCCAGCAGAGGTGGTGTTTGGGGACAGGCAGACACTTGCCTACCTCTGCCTGAGAACATTCTGTTTCTGAATGTCTTGTAGAAGTGGCTGCTGGGATCCTGAGTCCTAGCTGGGGTCATGATTTAATGCCTGAGAATTCATGGCTTGTAGGGGCCAGCTCTGATCCTGCATTTCAAAACAAAACATGGGTTTGCCAAGAAAGAGTCTAACGTGATGAATGTTGCCATTTCAAACCTAAGCCTTCTAGCAACACCTATGTAGGTGGCAACCTCTGGTCTTCCAGGCCAATCCCATCCCAGAGCGGGGTTCACCAATAGGTAGATTAAGCAATATGCCTAAGGCACTGGCAAAATGAGGACTCACATACCCATAAAAAGTTAGTTTTCAAAACGTTATCTGGAATTTTGGAACCAGAAAATCTTGAAAGACATTCTAATATTAGGTCTTATGTAAGTTCTCTGTTGTGTTGAATTTGAATAGGGTTGGGGGCTCCATAGTCTTTTGGAATGCAGGGTCTCTAAAGATCTTAATCTGGCCCTGCCACCCACCGCTTCAGAAACTTCCCTTTACCTCAGTTCTCCGAATGAACACACAAAGTCTTCCCCACATCTGAGGTCAAGGCCAGAGAGTGGAGGATATGTTCTATGTCTTACTTTATTGCAGCATTCTCCCTTCTGAAGTGGTGTGTCTGAACCACAAAATGTCACACTTCATCATGCACAGTGAGCAGGAGTGTGGTGGTGGTAATCGGGGTCCCTGACTTATTAGGGCAAAGCTATGGGGAGAGGGAGGTCCCCTGGACCACCGGGCAATTCATTTTACAGGAGGAAGTTTCTCCCACAGATGGAGAGATAGCTTGTAGCTTGCTTTCCTTTCTCTGGTCTTGACCCTTGTCCCATCTTCTACTGCTATTGTAGGAAGCCAAAAAAAAAAAAAGGAGCCAAGACCTGAGAATGTGAATGTTGTGACTGTGGCTTCCCACTTGGCTTCCCAAGCCCAAGGGGGGTTGCAGCAGGTTCCCCAGAGTGGAGACCTGAGGCAGCTGCCAGGGGCAAGGTGCCCTCCCACTGGCCTCTGGCCCTCACAGGGTTAGCCAATGGGAAGAGACAACTGTGGGGTGGGGACTGCCTGCCCCCATGAGTACCAGGCTGCCGAGGCTGGACCATCTCCTCACTTCCATCCTGACTGCAGTCTGTGGGTCTGATTCTACACCTGAGGGTAAGATCAAGTTGATCACAGTTCCAGGCCGGGGGTGGGGATGGCTGCCTTGCAATGGAGCCTCTGGCTGGGGTATGCCCAGGCTCTCTCGTACAGGCAAAACTCTGGTGAGGGCAGCACTGGTGGAGGCAGACAGACCTTGGGCTTCTTTCTAGATTCTCCCACAGCTCCAAGAGTAAAGGAGCTGTTCCTCTGGTGAAAATCTTGAATTTTGCCCAATTCACTCTGTGGCACGATGCCTACCCAGAGAAAAGGTTGGGATCCGTGAGGAAGGAGGGATGGTCCAGTGATAGAGTTCAATTAAATAAGAAGAGAAGGAAATAAAGCACTCCTCAGCTTGACCAGGTAGGCAAGGAAAGTAGGCAGCTCGGGGATAGCCTGAGCTCTGACCTCAGCTTGAGTCTGGAACCCAGCTCTGCTACTTGACTCTTCTCAGCAAATATTGATTGAGAAAGTTCTATAGGCCAGACATTGGGTAGACTTGCAAAGATGAGTGAGACATAATCATTGTCTGGATTTGAGGGAATCTGTAAATATGGGGATGTGGGGATTTCTCACAGGACGATTGAGACATTCAAATGGAGTAATGCAAGCTTGGCATATACTGAAAACTTAGGAAAATCTTATTTTTAGAAGACATTTTCCGGCCAAAACCAATGGGTCTGCCTGGCCTTTGCCACGCCCAATCCTGCTCGCCCCAGCAAGTGCTGTGCCTGAGGCATCTGGTTGTTTTCAGTGTAGGAGGCAGACGTCAGAGCAGGAAGGATTTTAGAGATCAGGCCATCCCTCTTGTGTCAGTGGATGTGGATCCCTGGTCTGGAGAGGTTCTGGTTTTCAGACCAGTCCTCACAGGGAATGCAGCCACCTCACTCCTGGTGACTCCCTCCATTAGGGGTAAGGCCAGCTCCTCCAGACAAGGTAGTGGAGCAGGGGAGCCCTTTATGCTGGTAGAACATGCCCAAAGGAGCATGAAGGTGTCAGCTTTGCTCTTGAAGCAGAGAAATAGAAATGGAGCCCTGCAGCTCAATTGGCAGTCCTTGTTGCCTTCCTCCCTTAACTCTTGAGGAGTTGTAGAGAGAGACACAGGACTTGCTTCTTGTCCTTTCTAAGGTGGCTGCAGGGACAGACTTTCCACCTACTCCTTGTCAAGCCAAGAGATTAGTGGCCCGACTTGGCTGAAGTCAGAAGGTAGAAGCTTTGGAGAGCAGAAATTTTCAGTCAGGATTTTTTTCATGTGGAGAGCGACTGATTCTAAAAATGCATTGGAGGGATGTTCGGCTTTACTACTTCTTGAGAATATATGCGTGTGTGTGTGTGTGTGCGCGCGTGTGTGTGTGTGTGTGTGTGTGTGTGTGTGTGTGTTGGGCATAGGAATGCTGACGGCTCTCCTAGGGTTGAGTGAAAGCTTTCAGGTAAGGGGTGCCTTGGTGGCTCAGTCAGCTAAGCATCTGACTTTGGCTCAGGTCATGGTCTCATCGTTTGTGAATTCAGGCTCCTCATTGAGCTGTCTCCTGTCAGCACAGAACTCGCTTCAGATTCTCTGTCCCCCCTCTCTGACCCTCCCCTTCTTTCTATCTCTTAGAAATAAATAAAAAAATTTTTAAAAGGATAAGATTCTCTCTCTCTCCTTCTCATACTCTCAAATAAAAGAAAAAAAAAAAGAAAAAAGAAAGAAAGCTTTCAGGTAATCCTCCTGGGAGCTAGACCAAACTGAGTTGATTCCTGATTCTGTCATTCATCATTAGGTTGTACCATGTGAAATGGTACTCCCAATATTCTACCACTTTAACCTTTAAAAATGGCGAATGCATATAACCCACAAGAGTTGTATGATTTTTTTTCCTCCCCAGCCGCCCCGCCCTGTATACTAAGAATTGCGTGATCTTAAGCCAACATCTTGGTCTCTTCAAGTCTCAGATTCTTCTCTATAGTAGAATCAAGAGCAGGGCCGTGGGGAAGGTTACAAGAAATCAAGTTTGAAAGTGCCTTATGTAATTTCTACTCCAAAGTATCCTTGACCAATTTCAAAGTGTTCTCACGTCCCTCCTCTTACCTGATTGCGTTCAGTAGATTCTGAAGCTGAGTCTGAGAGGCTTTTTAGAGGCAGTGTAATGTGATGGGAAGCTTACCGGTTTGGAAGTCAGAACAGGAATCTCTCAGGGGTCATGTCCTTAATGTCTCAATTTCCCCATCTCTAAAGTTGGGATTATTTTCCTTACTTCATGGAGTTCTTGTAAAAATTAAAATAAGTAATAAATAAAATAATGTGTGGAAGCTGCTAGTGTGGGAGCTGGCCTCTACGAGGATCTGATAAGTGCCTTCTCCTTAACCTCCTGTTTGTAGAAGCAGGGCAGGGGTGAGATGATTTCTGGGGTTCATTTGGCTCTCAGGGACTGAGTGATCTGTGCTTTAATGCCCTTTCCTGCTACAAGGGTTGGCACAGATTTGCTGACCTTTCCCCCCCCCCCCACCATACTGCTCTGTTTCCTGCCAGCCCTAAAGGAGACTCTGTCCTGTATTTCGTAGGATTCTGCTGTTGTTACTGAAATTCCAGCAGGTCAAAGTGGAATTTCTTATATATTAAACAATTTTTTTAAACATGTATTCACCTTTAAGAGTGAGAGAGGCAGAGTGTGAGTGGGGGAGAGGCAGAGAGAGAGAGGGAGACACAGAATCCGAAGCAGGCTCCAGACTCTGAGCTGTCAGCACAGAGCTCGATGCAAGGCTCGAACTCACAGATCGTGAGATCATAACCTGAGTTGAAATCAGACGCTTAACTGACTGAGTCACCCAGGTGTCCTGGAATTTCTTATAAATTTTAGCACTGAAAATGAGAGATCATAATATGGCCCTTTAGGATCCAGAGAACATCATGGCCATCCCTCATATAATTCTTTTTTTTTAATTTAATTTTATTATTATTATTTTTTTTGATATTAAATTTATTGTCAAATTGGTTTCCATACAACACCCAGTGCTCATCCCAACAGGTCCCCTCCTCAATGTCCATCACCCACCTTCCCCTCCCTCCCACCCCCCATCAACCCTCAGTTTATTCTCAGTTTTTAAGAGTCTCTTATGGTTTCATATAATTCTAAGAATGAATGGATCCATGCCTATACACGGTGTACCATGAGAGCCAGTGCAGTAGAAAGAACTCGGCCTTTGGATTTTAAAGTGCACCTCCACACTCTTCCTTGTTATGCATGGGCAGAAGTTATTAATCCTCTATGGTCCTGGGATTTGTCATGTGGGAACTGAGTCCTACTTCCTGGAGTAGTAGGGCTGAAATAAGATTAAAGGGCAGGTGGATGTACAGTGGTCCAATACAGGTGGTCCATAAATATTTGTTAGTTTCCCTTCTCTTGACTTATATGTGTGGACGTTTATAAAATGCTTCAGACTTTTAATCAACTGGTTCTCACAATAAGATTGTGAAATAGGTTGCATAAGGATTAATCTCATTAATAATCATTAATAATATCATTAATAATTTGGAGGCAAAGAACATGAGATTTGGGGGTGGGGTGGAGATAAGTAAGTCACCCAGCAAGTTAACGGTGGAGCCTAGACGAGAAGCCAGGGCACTTGCATCATAACCTGGAGGGCTTTTCATTCTATTTTTTCTTATGTCCCCCATCCCATGGAGTGGAATATGAAAAGGCAGATGTGTAATCCTGGTGCATTTTTTTTTCCTCCTGTGAACTATGCCTAAGACTCTATTTTTGGGCTTTGGAAGACCAGAATTTGATTTCCAGCTCCTCCTCGTTTAAGAGCTCTAGGCTCTTGGATGAGTCACTTAACTTTCCTGAATCCGCTTCCCTCATCTCTAAAATGGGTACTATTTATATTTATATATTTATAGCTATGACTATAGCTAACATTTATTAAACACTGACATGTGCCATGCCCTGTTCTAAGTACATTATATGGATTACGCCTCTTAATCCTCCAACAAATACATGACTGAAACACATTATAGGTAAGAACAAATTATTCCCACCCGAGCACCAAGATCATAGAGCATGTGATGTCCTTCTCTTTCACACCATCTCTCAGAATGGTTGTGAAGATTACATGAGACATTTTAGGCAAGAACTTTACAAATGGAGTTCTACAGAAACAGAATTATAAGTGTAGCTTGGGAGTTAGCTTCATGATCCATATAAGAGTTGTCTCTGCAGGCACCATTGAGTCTTAGATTACAGTTTCGTTTAATAGTGTTCTCCGCTGTAGAAATAGAAATCTCTCAAAATCAAAGGGTAACAATTGCCATATCTAAGCAAAGAACACAGATAATTTTGGAATACATTTTTTTAAGAGACACTTCTGCACTGGCCTTCAATTGTTATCAATTGCCGCTTTTTCCACTCAGAACTAGGTTAGAAGACAACTTTCTTCTGCAACCAGAATCTGTTCTTAGAATGAGAAAATTCCTAGAATCGTGTACCCATCTTCACCCCAACCCCCCCTTTTAAATTTTTTTTAATGTTTATTTATTATTGAGAGACAGAGCATGAGCATGGGAGGGGCAGAGAGAGGAAGAGACGCAGAATCCAAAGCAGGCTCCAGGCTCTGAGCTGTCAGCAGAGAGCCCGATGCGGGGCTTGAACTCACAAACCGCGAGATCATGACCTGAGTTGAAGTCGGAGGCCCAACCAACTGAGCCACCCAGGTGCCCCACCCCACCCCTTTTTTCAGTACCTCCTCCACCCCATGCCACTGTCATGGAACCCAGACTGGTTGTCCCTGTTAGTGGAAAAATCTGTCCATAATGCCAAAGTGTTGAGGGCTGAAAGAATTCTATTCTCCCTAAGGCTGGGAGAATAGAATCTTGATTTTTCAAAGAGGAGGAGGAACCAGAGAACCCAGAGACCTTCTTACATCACACTCCCCCCAACAGTTTGGAGACAGCCCCCAATCTCCTTTTATCTTTGGGTCTTTCCATAGCTGCACCCACCAGTTCTTGCATTCTGGATTCTCTCTTCCCATCTCCCTGTGGAAAAGGACACAGCCTCATAGATTCTGCCCTCCTCATTTCTGGAGAAAGCAAGCACAGAACCTCTCAGAGGTCTTCTTGGGACTTGTAATGCTAAGCCCAGAAGGAGAAAGAATGAAGGTGACAAATAGAAATTTCAAATGCATATGAAGTCTTCAAAGCCTCAGAACAAGCATTCTTCCTAAACACAAAAGGGGCTTGGCCGGCCTCTCCTCCTTGGCTTCTAATCTCACTCACCTCTTTCTTCTTATTGTGGGGCAAGCCAAGCCCATGCTGTGTCTCATTTTATTTCCAGGAGCTATGGACTACGCCCTCCTGAGCCCTTGAAATCAGTAGAGGGCGACAACGGTACATGCAGATGGAAAGAGTGAGCCTTGGCTAGAGATTCACCACCACTGCGGAGGGGACAGAGTCTGTCCAGTCCTTTCTGTCTCAGCTGCCATGTTTCTTCAGTTTCTACCCCTCCTTCTATCAGTCTACCTCATTCTCAATTCTCACGTTATTTATAAGATCATATTTGTTCTTTGCTAAATGATCTATCAGCTCAATAGAGAGGGAAAAGATGAACTGAAAGTGTCTTTAAACAGCTAGTCTTCAAATAGGGAGAAATCATTTGAGTATTTTAGATCACAGCTTACACCAAAACAAAATATCGAAGATGAATTAAAGAGTGAAATTTAAAATATATCGAACATCAGAGGATAAAAAAATAGAATATTTACCAAAACATAGAATGGCTGAGAACTGTTTAAAACTTAGAGGCAAAGAAAAATATCAGCAGAGTTGACTCTAAAAGCTAAGACTTCTGCCACTTAAAAATCAGGATAAACAGAAGAATAATCTACAGAATAATCACTTAAGAAAATAGTCATGGCATATATGATAAAGTGTTGGCGTGAAGAGCTCACACAAATTGATTCAAAAGCACATGGGGCGCCTGGGTGACTCAGTCGGTTGTGTGTCTGACTTTGACTCAGGTCATGGTCTCGTGGTTTGTGAGTTCGAGCCCTGTGTCGGGCTCTGCGCTGACAGCTCGGAGCCTGGAGCCTGCTTCGGATTCTGTGTCTCCCTCTCTGTCTGCCCCTCTCCTGCTCACTCTCTGTCTCTCTCTCTCTCTCTCTCTCTCAAAAATAAATAAACATTAAAAAAATTTTTTTAAAAAGCACATTGTGTCCCTAGTAAATTAAGTGACAAAAACCACTAACAGATTGTATAATGAATGAGGAAGTTAAATTGGGATAGGAAATTAAGTTAGAAAACAGGACTTTGATAAAATGTACAACTCACTAATGATCGAAGTAGCCAGGTACCATTTCTTTTGTTCCCTAAACTAACAACAACAAAAATAGGTTTTTAAAAATTTTGCTGGTGAGAGTAGTTAATAGGCTCTCTTATGCACACACTAACACACGACCTAGTAACAGTATAACAAACTGCAATTTGGAAATATGCATCAAGAGCCTTAAAAATGTTCATACCTTTTGGTCTGCTAATATTACTTCTGAGAATATGTCATGACAGAATATGAGATGCGGATAAGCTCCATGACCAAGGATATTAGTTAGGGATTTTAAAATAATACTTTAAAATGGAAGTAAGCTAAAAGTTGAACACAATAGAAATGGTTCCGTATAGTTGGCTATATCCACTTGAGGAAGGAGCACATACACCGTTAAAATGATGATTATGTGAACTAGAAAATAACAAGGCAAAAATTGGGAATGAATTTCTGTGCAAAGTACCTTTTTCATTATGTTTAAAAATAAACAGAGAAAGTCTTGGGACTGGGGATTCTTTTGTTTTCTGTGGTTTCCAAGATGTTTATGTTATTAGTTTTAGTGAATACATGTGTGTGTCTATATCTACACCTACATCCATATCTCTCTCTCTCTCTATCTATGAAAAATGAATATATATGAATGAATGATGGGTTGGTTGTATCACACTGAGAGGGCACTATAGACCCCAGGTGATGGGACATAGAAATGGGATTCTAGACGCCATGCACATCTTTGGGGGTAAAATTGCCAATCAGGGTCTTTCTTGCATCCCTCATGGAGGAACTGTTTCCTGAAACCAAACCCAGTTCTGGAGACTTTGCATAACCCTTGAGAGATAAGCATATTGATGAAAAATAGTGAGTGCTCAGAGTAGAAAAATACACACAGGCTGTGTTTAACTTAGAAGCATGTTCTTGGGATTAGGCACCTTTCACACTCCACAGAGGGTTTTAGTAATGACTGTGATCCAGGGTCCTTTTTCCTTTCTGTGGTGCTTTCTCTCGACTCCTTGGTGAGAGAAGGTTGAGAAGACCAAGAAGCTGGCTATCAGAGGCAGGGGACTAAGATCACCCTGATATCAGACGCAGAAACTGGGAGGGGACGAGTATCATCTTCTAGGAGGGGGATATGAAGGAACGGTTCTGGGAAGGTGTCCCCGGCCACCTGTACCACTTGAACTTTTTGCTAGGGCTCCCAGAAGACACATTTAAAATCCCCTCCCCTCTCCATCCTTCTTTCCCTCTTCCTACCTCCTTCCCTCCTCTCTCTGGCTCTCTTGCCCTTTCTTTTCTTCCTCAGAAAGTATTTCTTTAGTCCCTACTCTGTGCTGGTAGTATGTCAGTCTTCATCCCTGGTGCCTGTGGTTTAATGGGAGAAATGAATGAGCAAATCAGCAATTACAGCGTAGTGCAGGAAATGCAATGTTAGAGGTAAGTGAGGGCACTGGGGGTGTGCAAAGGAGGAACAAACAACCCAGATTGGGGAGGGAGGATTTCCTGAAAAAGAAGACATCCCTACTGTGTCCTGAAAGCTGCATAGGGATCAGGGAGGTAAAGAAGTGCTGCTAAGTGTGACCCAGGCAGAGTCAGTGCATATCCTCATGGGACAGTGTGTCTCTGGTTGTCTGACTCAGGGAAAGGCTGTGTGTGTGTGCCTTGTGCGAGTGTGTGTATACGTGTGTGCACTCATGTGTATGTATGCGTGTGTGTGTGTGTGCAATAACCCAAATGGTCTATCATGTGATCTAGGAAATGGGGAGAGGAAGAAAGAATGAAAGAGAAAGAAGGAAGAACAGACATAAAAATGAAGGAGAGGGAAGTAGAGAAGATAAAAGGAGGCAGAGAGAGAGAGATATTGGTTAGAGTTGAAGGAGAGGATCTGAGCCATCATCCTTGGAAAACTCAAGGGATAGATTCTTGACAAATGGACTCTTGGAATTCGATCTAAGGAGGCTGGTCCTGTGCCCAGACATGAGGTAATTGGAAAAGTGTTGTCCTGCCCTCACTGAACTCACGATCTGTTGAGGAAAGGAGACCATACACAAAGAATAATGCTAAGTATTACAAATTTCAGGGCAAAAAGAGATCAAGGTGGGTGGAAATTGTTAGAACAGTCTTCCATAAGAGGTGAGTGTTCAGAGAGCAGGTCTCAGAAGTGGGTGCTGCTGAGATGGCCCTGGTCCTGCATAGGTCCTGACGGGGTGTGCTGTGTGGGGTCTGCTCACAGGGCTGACGGTGCGAATCTGGGTTCCAGGGCTCAGGATGCTGTTGCTACGAGCTGTTCTATTGCTACTGGTCCTGCCAATTCGCGGCCAGGACTCCGAGACAGAAGGGCCTGGAGTTGTGGTTCCCCTGCCAAAAGGGGCCTGCACAGGTTGGATGGCAGGCATCCCGGGGCATCCCGGCCACAATGGGATCCCAGGCCGGGATGGTAGAGATGGCACCTCGGGTGAAAAGGGTGAGAAAGGAGATCCAGGTAAGAACAAGGTTTTCGGCTTCCATTGTCATAGACTTCTGTGAGGTGGAAGAGGCATTAGCTATTGACTAAGGCCTAGACACAGGGAGGAAGTGAATTTGTTTTCTGTGACCCACAAGCAACCCAAAATGGATTTGGGTTCGCCTCTGAGAATAAGTGGTACCTGTAAAACCAGTACGCTCAACTCTGCTCTAGCCACATCACGTTCTCTGTACCTTTTCCCATCCCACCTCACCCGTCACTATGCCCAATCTGTTCACATTCACGTTACCCTTCATTTCCGCTAACTTCCCATTCCACCCAGGGGCATTCACACATAATGCACACTCTTACAGCTCACGGTCCTGCTCCTGCGGAACTCTTGGTCTGATTAAGGACATAAGTCTAATGCACAAAGCTGTTAAGGATTACTACGAGAAAGCCTATTCCAAATATGCCAAGTTGAATGTGGACTAATGCCGGAAGTACGGAACCGAGACAAAATGCTCTCAATGCAGATCCGGATTATTAACAATGAAGGCTTTAAGAAGGAGGTGGGACTGGAGCCAGGCCTTAAAGGATGGGTAGACAGAATAGAGAGAGGGCATTCCAGACAGAGGGGATAGAAGTATGGTTGGTTGAGCCAACATGTGAAGGGCTGGCAGGGTGGAGGGTCTATGATGGAGACTTACAGGGAATGAGGTTGGAGATGAATTAACGGGAGATGTAGAAGGAGAAGGTATAACTCACCTCTTTGGGAGCCCCTATCGTTTCCCTGCTCTGCAAGTCTGGCAAGTTGTGGGTAAGGGAGATAAGGACGGTGTTTTAGGTTAGAACTAACCTAGGGAGGAGTTCTGTTTCTGTGGTCACTGAAGTCTTCTCATTCTCTAGGTCTTGTTGGTCCTAAGGGTGACACTGGTGAAACTGGAGTAACTGGGATTGAAGGTCCCCGAGGTTTTCCAGGAATCCCAGGCAGGAAAGGAGAACCTGGAGAAAGTGCCTACGTATACCGCTCAGCGTTCAGTGTGGGATTGGAGAGTCGGGTCACAGTCCCCAATGTTCCCATTCGCTTTACCAAAATCTTCTACAATCAGCAAAACCACTACGATGTTACCACTGGAAAATTCCACTGCAACATTCCCGGGCTATACTACTTCTCCTACCACATCACAGTCTACTTGAAGGACGTCAAGGTCAGTCTCTACAAGAGAGACAAGGCGATGCTCTTCACCTATGACCAGTACCAGGAGAAGAATGTGGACCAGGCCTCTGGCTCTGTGCTCCTCCATCTGGAGATGGGCGATGAAGTCTGGCTCCAGGTGTATGGGGATGGGGACTCTAATGGGCTCTATGCAGATAACGTCAATGACTCCACCTTTACAGGCTTCCTTCTCTACTATGACACCGTTTGATCACAACTAACTTAGAACCTCCACTGGGCCAGACAAACAAAAGTGAAAGAACAGTCTACAGGTTCTCAGTGTAGTTAGGAGATTAATTTTACTACCTGGTTGGAGGGCTCTGAACATTATTCATTCATTTACTCATTCATTCACCAAGTCCTTTAAAAAAATTATATACTATGTTCCTGAAGAAGACATGGTCCCTGGCCTCAAGGATCTGCTATGTAGTAGCAATGAAAGGTTAATAACATTTCCTGGGGTGCTTTGCACACATGGCAAGATACCTGACTACCATAAAGTATTTCATAGTGTTATTCTGTGTCTATTGTTTTTCCTCATATTCATGCCAATCCTGCGAGGTACACAGGAAACGTATTATTCTCCTCTTTTTGCACTTGGGTTCTGAGCCTGAGAGTGACTGCCTAAGGTGACACAGGTATTAAGTGGCAGAGTTAGAAATCAAACCCAGGTCTAGAGACCTTCTCCTCTAGACCCTGCCCTTGTTTAGGAGTACACGGCCTCTTGGGAGTGTTGGTAGGGAGTCAATCACCCAGCTCATCTGAGGGCCTCCGAGTTGGCCTTCATGGTGAGTTAAGCCTTTTCCCGGTAGAGCTGCGTCAGAGAAGGTGATTCTATGGCTATGTCCCATCCCAACTGGACTATTAATGGCCCCTGAATGACTGTACTTTGGCTTCTCTGTCTCTTTCCTCATGCTCTTCTCTCTAGCTCAGAAAGCGACTTCGATCTCCACAGGCTGAAATCCTCCCTGTTCCTCAGAGCCACCTAGTCAGGAAACTTCTCTGATGGGCTCGCTCTTTCCTGCAAACCTTCCGCACACATTGTGCCCCTATGCCCCGCTATATGTTATGCTAGATGAGAGTCCTGAATGTGAAAGACATCCTTCCTCCAGGCCAGGGACTACTGATGGGAAAGAACTGAGCTTCCCTCACCACCGAGTCCCTTTGCAGGTCCTTGATAAATGCCTCATGAAGACCAACCTTTGGAATCTCATCCCTATGCAGAATTATCTCCAGTTCAGTCTCTCCATATAACTAAACCTGATCTATGAAACATTTTCATTTTAGGAACTCCCTGAATTTAAGCACCTAATCCTTGTTCCACTGGAGAGTTTGACTCTTTTCTACTGAGGTTTGGGATGACTGTGCTTTCCAGAATACTTAAAGAATTTTCCCTCAAGGAAGTAGCTTCCGTCCACAATGCAAAACACACAAAGGAATTTGGAAACCATTCTTTCCTTCAGCACCAACAGGGTCTGGCAAGGCCTGGACCTTCTGAATCTATTCTTGTTCTTTAAGTGTTAAAGAAGAAAAGAAGGAAAAAAAAAAAGAACAAAAAAGAACTATCTGAGGTGATGGGCATGGTAATTAACTTGATTGTGGTGATCATTTCACAATTTTTATCTATAGCAAATCATCACATTATACATCTAAATATACACAAGTTTAATTGTCAAAAATATTCCAAAAAAAGAAAGCAGGTGATCGATAGTGGTAAATATCTTCCCCGGAGACAATAGCTTGAATAAAGCTTTTCAGCGTTTTTAGCAAAAGTAGAGTCAATAGCAGCATTCTTTATAAACAGAAAGGGGAAAGGGTTTGTGTTGCTTACAGTTTTAAATTCTGAATGATTCCCTTTTGCATGTGTATTGCTAATCATTAAGCCACTATTATTTCTACATACAAAGCCCTGTCTTTTAAAATGTTTGCATACCGTCATTTTCTACAAGTAAAGGTACTCTTCAGCATTAAAAGTAGAAGCACTTGAGTCCCACGAAAGACATGGGGTTTAGAGAGGAAGGAGTAAACTGTGTGTGAGGACGCCATGTTATGAATGACAGAAAACCCAACTGTAACTTGAGAGGAAAAAAAAAAAAAAGATTCCCTTGCACGATGGAAAATACCAGAGCAGCTGCTCTGTCATGAGGCAAGGCTTAAACCAGAGGCTCAAGTGAAATCAAAGACCTTTTTCTATCTGTTCTTCTACTCTGCCTTCAGCAGTGTAGGCTTAACACCCAGGCTCTACACAGTATACTGCTAGACTTTTCCTCAGGATATCAAAAGACTGACTGGTAGGGTTGCCTGGGTGGCTCAGTAGGATGAGCGTCTGACTCTTGATTTTGGCTCAGGTCATGATCCCAGGGTCATGGGGTTGAGCCCCGCTTTGGTCTCTGTGCTGAGTGTAGAGCCTGCTTGGGATTCTCTCTCTCCCTCTCCCTCTGCCCTTCCCCTGCTTGCACATGCTCTGTCTCTCACTCTCAAAAGAGAGAGAGAGAGAGAGAGAGAGAGAGAGACTTAAAAAAAAAACCAAAAGACTGACTGGTAGCGTGCCAGCTCTGGCACCCTCCCATCCCACCATCTGGCTAAAGGGATATCCTCCTTTCTGGTGGTTCCCAAGGAGGAGAGTGGAAGTTCTCTTTTCCATAAGCCCCAGCAACCATGTCTTTGCACGCCATTGGCTCTGGCTACATTGTATGCCCATCTCTGACCAATTATTTCGCTCAGGACGATGGACTATATTTATTGACGTAAGTTGATTATGGCTCAAGCTGAAGAAAGGGTATTTTCTCTAAGGCAAAACAGGAGACGGTTACCAGAAGTGGGAGAGTGGATGATGAATTGCAAAAACACCTGCCCACAATAAACTCTCAGTGGCATGTTTGAATTTTCTTAGGTTTCTCAGGGAGATATTGCTGGAAAATTACTATCGGTTTTCCCTAAAATTTCAACAAGTAGCTAACGTCTGGCCATGCTCACAGTCCCACATCTGGGTAAGGTGGCTTCTTCACAGCACTGGACATAGTGCCACACTCACCGTAAGCTCCCTGGAGCAGGGTTAGTTCTTTGTGGAAACAGAGAGAGCCAATCTGCCCAATACCTCCTGAGAGAAGTTGTGGCCAATATTTTAGGATTAGTGGTCCTGTGTTATCTTCATGGCCCCATCATATCTTCAAATAATACTTATGGGTTTGTTTATTTCTCTTCAGTTCTGCCAGCTTTTGCTTTATGTATTTTGGAGTTCTCCTATTAAGTACATACTCTTTTAATATTATGTCTTCTCGGAGAGTTTACTTTTTATCATTATATAATGCCTTTATTTATCTCCGGTGATTTTCCCTATTCTGAGGTCTATTTTGTCTGGAATTTATATAGGCACTCTAGCTTTCTTTTGATTGTTGTTTGCGTGGTATATCTTCTTCCATCATGTTGCTTTAAATCTATGCGTTTGACTCTTGAACAGTGTGGGGTTTAGGGGTACCAACCCTCCACACAGTAAAAAAATCTGTGTGTAAACTTGACCCTCCAAAAACTTGTCTGCTATTGACCAGAAGCCTTAATGACAACGTAAATAGTCGACTAACATGTGTTCTGTATATTATAGGTATGATATGCTGTATTCTTACAATAAAGTGAGCTAGAAAAAAGAACATGTTATTAAGAAAATTATAAGGAAGAGAAAATACATTTACATTATTGTATGTGTATTTATTGAAAAGGAATCTGTGTGTTAGTGGACCCATGCAACTAAAACCCATGTTGTTCTGGGGTGCCTGGGTGGCTCAGTCGGTTAAGCGTCCAACTCTTGTTTTTGGCTCAGGTCATGATCTCACGGTTCACAGGTTCAAGTCCTGCGTTGGGCTCTGCCCTGGCAGTGCAGAGCCTGCTTGGGATTCTCTCTCTCTCCTTCTCTCTCTGCCCTTCCCTCCCCCACACCCCCCCCCCACACACTCTCTCAAAATAAATAAATAAACTTTAAAAAAGTAAAAATAAAACCCATGTTGTTCAAGGGTCAATTGTATTATTGTACTTAAGATGTATTTTTTTATAGACTGCTTGTGATTGGGTCTTGTTTTTTTATCCGGTCTGAAAACCTTCTCTTTTAATTGGTGTTTTAGACAGTTCATATTGAATACAAGTGTTGTTATGGTTGGATTTAAGGCTACCATTTTGTTTTCTGTTTGCCCCCCATTTTATTCTCTTTCTTGACTTCTTTTGGATTGGTTGAATATTTCATAGTATTTCATCTTAATTTATTTATTGGATTTTTGTCTGTGTTGGTGGTATTTTTTAGTAGTTGCTCCAGGAATACAATGTATATGCCTAACTTTTCACAGTATAGTTAGAATTAATATTTTAGCACTTCAAATAAAATATAGATGCTTATAATCAACTAGCGTTCTTTGTCCGGATCTCTTTACATTGTGGTCTCTATGTATATTACATCTATATACATTGAAACATTACAATGTTAAAACTTTTGCTATTAAAAGTCCTCCTCCACTAAGGGAGTCTGGAGCCAAGTAAGGTCTTGACTTACCCCAGCCTCTGAATTTTACTGTGCCTGGACTGGTTGATGAGAATATATTACACCCTGTGCAGAGACTAAAAAAGTCAGTGTGACCCCACCCACAGGGACCAAACTGGAAATAGTAACCTCCAAATTCAGAAATTTTGTTCATCTAGTGTTTTACTCAGGAATTTCTAGAAATATCCAGGTTTTGAAGAATGTTTTGAAAGAATTAGATTTTTTTTTCCCTTTAACCTTTTAGTTCTCACTCGGGTATTTTATAGTAAGTAAACATGAGTTTGAACAAAATTCACATGTCTGGGGCACCTGGGTGGCTCCGTCAGTTAAGTGTCTGTCTGACTCTGGATTTCAGCTCAGGTCAGGATCTCATGGCTCATGAGTTAAAGCCCCATGTCAGGCTCTGTGCTGACAGCACAGAGCCTGCTTAGGATTCTCCCTCTCCCTCTCTCTCTGCCCCTGCCCTGCTCTCTCTCTCTTTCCCTCTCTCTGTCTCTCTCTAATAAAGAAAAAGAAGAGAAAAAAATTCACATGCCTTTGAACAAAAACCACATTTTCCCAAAAAGAAGCGAAGTGAGATCTCTTCACTTTATCAGTTATGTGTGTTTCACAAGGTCAATGTAAGTGGAGTCCCTGGGCCAAGATGAAGTCTTAGTGGGCAGTTCAGTCTGTGGTTAGAGTCAGGG